TGTGGTCACAACTTCTGTCTGGCAGAGAGCTGCCCCTCTAGCTCTTGCCCTGATGCCAGACAATTTAGTTCCTCACTGGTGCTTTTCAAGCTGTGGTGTTAGGCAGCGGGTCTAAGTCCATGTGGGGGCTCTTTAAGAGGAACTTCCTGGGCATCCAGCAGCCTCTGTCTCACAGCCACACTCCCTGGTCTTTACAGCGGAGGTTATGCGGATTCTTCTTCCCTGGGCAGTGGAGCCTGGTGTGGGGCTGGGAATCCTGGGTTCACAGGGGAGGATGGGGGCGGGGGCCTCAGCAGCTGGAGAATGCCTCCTGATATATCTGCCACCATGTGTGTGGGACCAGCCTGTTCTGGGTCTCTGCCCCTCCTACCAGCCTCAATGTGGCTTCTTCTTTAAATCCTGAAGAAGGATTTGTAGGGCTTCCATTCAGCTATATTTTAAGCAGTTCTGAATGATGGCTCTTCTGTAGTTTAGTTGTAATTTTGATGTGGTGTGGGAGGGTTCGAATAACGCATTTACCTATGCTGCCATCTTGAGAGGAAGTCTTCCTGACCTTCTTTAAAATAAAACTCCCAAATAGTTGAAGGTGAGTGTCATTTCTACATAAATCATGTTGCTGTTGTTTTTAAAAATATATATTTTATTGATTTTTTACAGAGAGGAAAGGAGAGGGATAGAGAGTTTGAAACACCGATGAGAGAAACATCCATCAGCTGCCTCCTGCATGACCCCTACTGGGGATCGAGCCTGCAACCAAGCTACATGCCCTTGATCAGAACTGAACCTGGGGCCCTTCAGTCCTGGACTGATGCTCATCCACTGAGCCAAACCAGTTAGGGCACGTTGTTGTTTTTTAAATGTTTTTATTGACTTCAGAGAGGAAGGGAGAGGGAAAAAGACTTAGAAACATCAATGGTGAGAGAGAATCATTGATCAGCTGCCTCCTGCATGCCCCAAACTAGGGATGGAGCCTGCAACCCAGGCATGTACTCTGACCAGGAACTGAACTCGTGACCTCCAGGTTCATGGGTCGATGCTCAAGCACTGAGCCACTCCTGCCGGGCTCGACATAAATCATGTTTCAGGATAGTACTACCGAGTTCTAGATCTGGGGTCACAGGAAATTCCTTTCCCTATTATTCACTCTCACAAGCATATCTTCCTTTTGAAATAACACATTAAAGATATAAAACCCTAAATTTAAAAATGATTTAACAACTTCAGAGCAGAAACCACCTAGAGACTGGAAGGGTGGGGTCAAGAGAGGGGCTGGCCCAGCTCCCAGGAGAGGTAGGCCAAAGGCGAGGAGGGTTATCTTGGCTGCCAGGGGCTCCCCCTGAGAGGAGAAAGGCCTGGACTCCAGGCTGGGCTCCCCAGCAGGGACAGCCAAAGCTGGGAACAGCCATCCACGCTGCATCCCGCAGCAGGGCTTCTATCTGCTCGGGAGAGCTGAGTCTCCTGGAAACCATGCAATTTCTTGCAAGGGCTGGCACACAGGATTTTTCGTTCCCAGCCACTTGCCCTAGGTTTTGGTGGAGGGAGGGCAATGTGGACTGGAGTTGCCTGAGGAGAGACTGGGGTGGATGGAATTGGGGAGAGTCATAGGGGATTGGGATACCTGTGCTGGGTCACAGCAAACATTTTTCCTGAGAGATGCAACCTCCCCCCCCCACCCCCCGCCATTCCCTCCCAGCAGCAGAAGTCTGGGGAAAGGCAAATGTCCCACCCTAAGAAATCCAGCTCATCCCACTTTCTCAAGTCCAGCTTGTCCCACCCTGCATCTCAACCCCTGCTGAGGAGGCACCAGGCTCAGGGAGCAACAGTGACTGGCTTTGGGGAGGGGCCATTGCCCCCACACTCCTGGGCACCTGGCTGATGCTTCCCTCTCACAGGAGAGCTGAGAGAAACTCCTGGCTTCTGGAAGATCCCCCAGGCCTACCTAAGAGGCTCCACCTTGCTGTAGTAGGGAAATATTCCAGGACAGACTCAGATGGTGGGAACACACCCACCATCTTCTCTGAAGTCTGAACATGTGCTGACCCACCACTGACTTCGTGCTGCTAAAATAGGAGCTCAGCTTGGCCCTTCCTGAGGGCAGACAAGCCCAGTGGAGGCAGCAACATGCTGTGGATTGCATCACACTTTGAACAGGATGCTGAGACCCAAATGTTGACAGCTTCTGACATTGGCTAGCACAAAAGTACCTCCCAGGAGGCCTGAAATTGGCATACAAAACAGCCTTACACAACATTAGGGCAGGATCTAAAGGGAAATCCTAGCAGGCACTAAAGTCTACTGGGATGAACTCCAATTATTATTTTTTTATTTTTCATTATTTTCTCATTTTTAATGCTTTGGTGTTGTTATTCTACTAGAGGCCCAGTGCACAAAATTCATGCACTGTCGTTTTTTTAGATGCACAGTATTTGCCTCCTGAATAGCATGCTTAACATTTAAATTGCTTTTCTGGCTTGCCTGTGCCCTCTCACAGTCCAGGAGCCCTCCTGGGATGTCCAACTGATGGCTTAGGTCTGCTCCCTGCCTAAGCTGTGAGTCAGACATCCTTAGCGCTTCCGTGGAGGCAGGAGAGGCTCCTGCCACTGCCACTGTGCTCACCAGCTGTAAGCCCAGCTTCTGGCTGAGCAATACTCCCTCTGTGGGAACACACTGACCACCAGGGGGCAGCTCCTGCGTTGAGCGTCTTCCCCCTGGTGGTTAGTGTGTGTCATAGCGACCGGTCATTCGCCGTTTGGTTAATTTGTATATTAGGGTTTTATTATATAGGATTTTCTCTTTTGTTTCTTTCACATTTCTTATTTTTTTTCTTTCCTTTCCTAACTCTATCAATGATTAGAGAGAATCACTGACAGGTTATCTCCTGCATGCCCCCTACTTAGGGGAGAGCCTGCACTCTGGACATGCCCCCTTGACTGAGAATTGAACTGTGACCTACTGGTTCATAGGTTGATGCTCAACCACTGAGCCACACCAGCCAGATTTCTTTTTTACTTTCATAATTTTTCTTTTCCCCTATTCTCTTCTAGTATTCTTTTTATTTTATTATTATATATATTTTTCTTTTATTATTATTCTTATTCTCTTCTCTCTCCTAATTCTCTCTTCTTTTGTGGTTAATTTTGCTGTTATTGTTGGGTTCTTTTGTGTTTTTGTTTTGCTTATATTTTCTTTATTTTTAAAGTATATTTTTATTGATTTCAGAAAGGAGAAAGAGAAATAGAAACATCAATGATGAGAGAATCATTGTTTGACTGCCTCCTGCACATCCCCTCCTGGGGTTCGAGTCTGCAACCTGGGCATGTGCCCTTGACCAGAATCAAACCTGATACCTTTCAGTCCACACCTTTGACACTCTATCCTCTGAGCCAAACCAGCGAGGGCTTTTTTTAAAAAAAATGTTTTTATTGATTTAATTTTAATTTTATAAAAACATTTTTATTGATTTCAGAGAGGAAGGGAGAAAGAGGGAGATGGAAACATCAATGATGAGAGAGAATCATTGATCGGCTGCCTCCTACATGCCTCCTATCAGGAATCAAGCCCACAACACAGGCATTTGCCCTTGACCGGAATCGAACCTGGGACGCTTCCGTCCGCAATCCAATGCTCTATCCACTGAGCCAAACCACCTAGAGCAAGCTTATGTTTTCTTTTGAGTTGAGAGCACTGTACAACAGCTCACACAACATGGTCAGGGGCAGGCCTCGTAGTCAGCCAGCCTGAAAGGAGATCCGACCCAATCACAGTACGAGAGCCCAAATAACACACAAAAGGGACACCCCTAGCATCCAGCTCAGGAGTTCAAGGAAACCACACACCGGGTCCCACAGGACATTTACTACCAAAGGCCACATCATAAAGACAGGGAGTCATAGGCATTCTATTTAATACACAGACATACACACAAAGGGATAACTAAAATGGTGAGACAAAGAAACAATGCCCAGCCTGGCCGATGTGGCTCAGTGGTTGTAGGTGGACCCATGAACCAGGAGGTCATAGTTCAATTCCCGGTCAGGGTATATGTCTGGGTTGTGGGCTCAATCCCCAGTGTGGGGTATGCAGGGGGCGGCTAATCATGATTCCCTCTCATCATTGATGTTTCTATCTCTTTCTCCCTCTCCTTTCCTGTCTCTGAAATCAATAAAAATATATTAAAGAAAAAAAGAGAGAATCTTAAGGGCAGGAAGAGAGAGACAGTTACTTACAAGGGGGATCCCATAAGGTTGTCAGCTGATTTCTCAAAAGAACACTACAGGCAAGAAGGGAACAACATGAAGTATGCAAAGTAATGAAAAGCAAGGATCTGAAACTAATATGACTCTTTTTTTAAAAATTGATTTCAAAAAGGGAGAGGGAGAAAGAGATAGAAACATAAACAATGAGAGCGAATCATTGATTGGCTGCCTCCTGATGTCCCCTATTGGGGATCGAGCCCACAACCAGGATATGTGCCCTGACCAGGGATTGACCTAGAGAGAGAGAGAGAGAGAGAGAACTTTGATAAGATTCCTCTTGTATGCGTCCCAACTGGGGATCAAACTCGAAATCTTTTGGTGCACGGTATGGTGCCCCAACTGAGCCACCTGGCCAGGCACCTGTTTTTTTCTTGCAATCGGCTCGCTGAAGAAATGGAAACTGTTCAATTTTAAGCAAAGCATATGCAGCAGTGTTATTTTTTCTCCACCTGTTACACAGGAAGAGAAATATACTTTATATACTCTGAGATGGCAATAATGAAGCCAGTAAGACTTCCATTTCCATGCCTGCAATCATGAATTTTACCTGTCATCTTAGTTTATACAGCCAGAGTATTCTGATATAGTCACAGGCCAAGATTTAAAATAGATCAGCACAACATCCTCTCATCTCACAGGTTAAGGACAAGCTGTTATCACAACAACCAGTCAGTGGGACTTGCACTTTTCATTTAGGGAAGTAACGGCAGCAGCATCGCATTGGGGGGATCAATGTATAAGGTATACAAATGTCTAACCATTATGCTGTACACCTGAAACTAATATAATGTTGAAGGTCAACTGTAATTGAAAAATAAAAATAAGCAATTAATTGCAGCATTACATTAATTTTATGAACAAGGCAGAGAAAAACAAACTGCTCAGCTGTACATTTGAGCTTACAGTGAGGACATGGCAGGGTGCTCAGGCAGGCGAGCTCCTGGTCCTCGCACCCTTTGCTTGCAGGGCGCTTGCCCTCCATGTGCTGACGGGAGTCATGAACACCCCACACATCAAATACAGAATCATTCTTCTAGGGCTCATCTAAAATACAACTTGGGACTAGTGTAGCATGGCTCCTAGAATTTGCTTTAAAATCCATTAAGTGTGAGTGGGTGAGCAGTGAGCAGAACCAGTTACAGCTGGCGACTGCTGAGGCGGAGTGAGGGCGCCTTGGGTCCGGGCTGTCCTTTTCTCTCTACTTCTATGTATGTCTTAAGCATCGACAATAAAAATTTAACAAAACCTACACAACAAAACATGAATGTAATCTAAGGATATTTGTCCTCATTAAAAGACTTTAAGTTTTTCTTATTATTTTACTGCTCACAAAAGAATCGCACAATCCTGATGTTGCCTAGTTAAGGTGAGCAGATTCTTCAATTTTTTCCCTAACTATGTGGTATGCGATGTGTTGCCAAGATGAAAAAGAACTCTCAGGATGGAGCCAATGAAAACACTTACAGCACAGAGATTCCATAAGCCACATACTTACTGCCAAGCCCCAAGGCCTGCCTGCCAGCCATCTGCAAACATGAGAGCCAAGTTCAACACCTTCATGATGGCTTCCTTCACAAAGCTGACCTGCAGATCAAAGCCACGGACAGATAGATCACCGTCTCGGTAACTGTGTTTGGACCCTGACACCAAAACTTTTACCTTACTCAGTCACCAAGGAAGTCCCTTAGCACAACGACTGCGTGCTGCGCAGGAGAAAGGGTGCCTGGCTTGGAAGAAAGCGCACTGGGCCCGGCTACACACGCAGCACCCGCAGCACAGGTGGTGGCAGCACCATCCGACCCGTTTCCTGGGACAGTCACTGAAATTCACCAGTGAAACGAGGCAAGCATTCCCAATGGCTGTAAGAGGACTTCATCCCAATATTCACACTAAGGTGGGTGCACTTCCTGAATAAAGCACTCTTATGCCACATGTGCATATAAAAATTTCCAACTGCCGAAGCCAGTTTGGCTCAGTGGATAGAGCGTCGGCCTGTGGACTGAAAGGTCCCAGGTTCGATTCCGGTCAAGGGCATGTACCTGGGTTGCGGGCACGTCCCCAGTGGGAGATGTGCAGGAGGCAGCTGGTCGATGTTTCTCTCTCATCGATGTTTCTAGCTCTCTATCTCTCTCCCTTTCTTTCTGTAAAAAATCAATAAAATATAGAAAAAAAAAATTTCCAACTGACTCTACACGCAGAGCAGGGTGAGGCAGGCTGGCAACAGAATTCTCACGGTTTCTCTAAATTTGTAACTTCATGTGGTCTGGTCTTTCCTTAAAGAATATTCTACAGAACAGAAACCTAATAACTATAAAATTCCAAAGCCAAGAAGCAACCTCCCTTGCCCAGCTTCATTCCCACCTCAGTGGACAATATTACAGGTGACGTCCCGTCTCACGTACCTTTTCTCTTAGCAGACATCGATCATGGATGGTTGACAAATATCTATAGTGAATTTTAATCAATTGATCTAAATCCTTGGCTTCCTCGATTTGATGTTGAAATTCCAACCCTGTACTGTGAAGAATCTTGGAAGAGAAAGATCAAAGTATAATCAGATTTCTTCTTGGAGAACATGTGTAACCCCACACAAAACTTTCTTTTATTTTTTTATTTTTTAAATATATATTTTATTGATTTTTTACAGAGAGGAAGGGAGAGAGATAGAGAGTTAGAAACATCGATGAGAGAGAAACATCGATCAGCTGCCTCTTGCACATCTCCCACTGGGGATGTGCCCGAACCCAGGCAACACGCCCCTGACCGGAATCGAACCCTCAACCCCTTTGGAACACGGGCCAACAACTCTCTAACCACTGAGCACACTGGCCAGAGCAGAGGATATATATTTATTGGTTTTAGAGAGAGGAAGGGAGAGGGGGAGAGAGAGAGAGAGAGAGAGAGAGAGAGAGAGAGAGAGAGAAGC